GAACTTCGATTATTCGATTTTCTCGATGTGTCGAAGAAAAATGAAAGTCCCGATTTTTTCCCCTATATATTCCTTATAAAAACCTATTTATGAGTCGAGATTTTATGTGTCAAATTTTTCGATGTGTCGAAGTTTTTTCGTGGTCCGTATAAAGTAAATCTAGTGCAATTTACCACAAATAAGTCGAAGTCTTTCGATTTTTTGACACCTTCGATCTCGAGACATTTTTTCACAACCTTATCTGGATGCGAAGGACGATTTCCAATCAACTTGTGTGATAGGTGTTTTAATTACACATCCGTGTGTTCAAACAGCCCTTTGTTTGCGATTAAAATGTGTGATAAAATGCTTTAATCGTTGCTATTTTAATGGCCGTAGTGGTACTTGAAAGTAAACAGTAAGAACTACTTTCATTTGAAAACATCCATGACCCGGTGTTGTTGTGAGAATAACACGCGAAATATTTACTATAAGCCGGTTTAGTTATCGCCCTTTCTAACTGTTACGCTTTTGTAACTATATTGTATACGTCAACGAGGTAGTCAAAATAACAAGCTGTGAAAAACGTTATCTAACATGCTATATTTATCATAGTTAAATGTAAAATAATCTGATTAATGATTGAAAAACATGAAAAAGGTTTCGTTATAGATCTTATGATTAGCACTAGTCACGGGTCGAATTTTGTCATGGAATTGAGAGCGATTCATGAGTCGAAGTCTACTGTATTTACCTTTATGAACTTATTGTTCACAGAATAATGATCTTGTAAACATGAGAGATATATCTAATGAAAGAGAAATCTTAGTGTCATTTTTGGTTTATATGTGATACAACTTCAACAATACATGTGTATTGTTGTTACCACAGAAGTTAAAATTTCTTTTTGAAAATTAAAGTCTCTAACATGACTATGATTGACATTCTTGCTTTCTGACACAAATTCTGTATCCTTCTAACTTTCTGACATTACTGTTTTTGACATTCTAATTCTAAAGCTACTGTCTCACTTACTCCCAGCGGAGCCCATGACCACCCCGGTAAGTTACTGGGATGATCCAGGATGAAATTACTGTCGCAGTCTCACTTACCCAGGCAGCCCTACAGTAATTCCAAACTATCACCCACTATGCGCCCCGGATCATCTAGGCAAAGCCCACTGGTGAAGCTAAGGTTCAAGCTGGTGCTTACCCAGTTGTTCCCCGATGACGCTGGCAGAGCCCTGGTTGATCCAGGCAGAACCCAGGAAGATCCCAGCAGAGCCCTGGTAAAACCTTGGTGGATTGAAAAAGCATGAAAGTGATGATGTGGAAACATAATAATATATTTTCTCCTATTTCATAAGTAATTCATGATGATTTTCTGAATAATCCTTATGGGGGATTGGACATAATTAAGGGAAATGGGGAAGGGTATTAATACAAACAAGTGCAAACATCGCAAATTGCCGTGATTCTTTTGAAATGAACCTGGCTTTGTCAGGGCTATACCTTGGATCAACCTTAGATCCATCGTCATCCTCCAGGGCCCTGCTCGGTCATTCATCAGAGCTCTGCCGGCATTCACCGGGGCTCTTTCGTAGCTCTACCAGCTATATCATACCCCGGATCATCCCCCGTTTGTGCTGGCAGAGCTACGGTGCTACCCAGGTGTAACCTTGGTCGTTCCCGGCAAAGCTTAGGATGGAAGTCGAGCAAAAAGCTATATCTTCCCGGGATTATCCTTGTCCACCCCGGTGATATTAAATATTTATTCATCGAATGCTTAGATCATCCCGACATTGCCAGCAGTTACAGATGTACCTCGGTTGTTCCCGGACATCTACCAGGACTTTGCCAGGATGTGAGACCACAGCTTTAGAAATAGTAGTAATTAACTTACTTATTCTCTCACATAACTGATATGGACATTTTTTACCATCTGCCACCCAAAACAGTCTCAACTTTCTCTCATAACAATTTGATCTTTACATTGTAATTTTCTGACAAGACTGACATTCTTCCTCTGTGACATAACTGTCAGTGATATTCTTCCTTTGTGACATAACTGTCAGTGACATTCTTCCTTTGTGACATAACTGATAATGACATTCATCCTTTCTGACAGTACTGTCAGTGACATTCTTCCTTTGTGACATAACTGTCAGTGATATTCTTCCTTTGTGACATAACTGTCAGTGATATTCTTCCTTTGTGACATAAACTGTCAGTGATATTCTTCCTTTGTGACAAAACTGTCAGTGACATTCTTCCTTTGTGACATAACTGTCAGTGATATTCTTCCTTTGTGACATAACTGTCAGTGACATTCTTCTTTGTGACATAACTGTCAGTGACATTCTTCTTTGTGACATAACTGTCAGTGACATTCTTCCTTTGTGACATAACTGTCAGTGACATTCTTCCTCTGTGACATAACTGTCTGTGATATTCTTCCTTTGTGACATAACTGATAATGACATTCATCCTTTCTGACATAACTGTCAGTGACATTCTTCATCTGTGACATAATTGTCAGTGACATTTAGACTTTGTGACATAACTGTCATTGACATTCTTCCTCTGTGACATAACTGTCAGTGACATTTAGACTTTGTGACATAATTGTCAGTGACATTCTTCCTCTGTGACATAACTGTCAGTGACATTTAGACTTTGTGACATAACTGTCATTGACATTCTTCCTCTGTGACATAACTGTCTGTGATATTCTTCCTTTGTGACATAACTGTCAATGACATTCTTCCTTTGTGACATAACTGTCAAGAGTATTCTTCCTTTGTGACATAACTGTCAGTGACATTCTTCCTTTGTGACATAACTGTCAGTGACATTCTTCCTCTGTGACATAACTGTCAGTGACATTTAGACTTAGTGACATAACTGTCAGTGACATTCTTCCTCTGTGACATAACTGTCAGTTATATTCTTCCTTTGTGACATTACTGTCAGTGACATTCTTCCTTTGTGACATAACTGTCAGAGATATTCTTCCTTCGTGATATAACTGTCAGTGACATTTAGACTTTGTGACATAACAGACATTCTGACATAAATTTTGATGAATATCTGACAAAATTGTCTGTAACATGACATAACTGTTTGTGACATTCTGATTGTCTATGAAATTCTGACTTTCTGACATATCTGTCTGTAACATTCTAGTGTGGTATATAATGGTCAATGTCAAAAGATGTGATTCATTTTAAAAAAATATCATTGATTACAGCTGTTTTCCAGTATTTTATAATGTTTGTTTAGGTTATATAATTGTTATATTAAAGTTGATCAGTGTAGACAACTGGGGTGGGGTGGGGGGAAGGAGGGAGGGGGTCAATGTACTTTAAACAAACACTTTTCTAGTGTATTTAGATGAAATACGCAAACAAAACAATTGAAGGTTTGTGTGAAAAACTGTACAACAGAAATATGAGAACTAGATATACATATATTGTCATATATTTGCTGTAGAATTGATTTCACATCTGACTGAAATCTTGGATGTGATCTAAGATATCATGTTTCCAGCACTTATTAATGGTCAATTATTATACATATACAGATTTAAATAAATGTTGAATTTATCATACTTTTTCTCTAATTCTTATCAAATGAGACATTGGTTGTTAAGACAAGGAAAAAGTAACAATGTCAAGACTTGTAAGTAGAAAATTTATGTCATTTAAATGAGTTGTTTAATTTATTGCTTTGTTTATTGACACCACATGCCAATATTACAGTCCATTGTTTATAAATGCATCTCAGAAATGTAAAATACAGTTGTTTGTTTAATTAGTGTGGCATTCTAAAAACTTGCATAGAGATATGCAATTTCATTTAGTTGTAGGTTCTAGGATACTGGTGTAATTATCTTTGTTGGATTAAAGGGATACAATATTTTAATTATTCAGTAACTTAGGTAAATACTAACATATAGTAGTGTTTATTAAAACATTTCTGTCATAGATTGAGTAGACATATAAGGTTATATCTTAACTTCATATATTTGAAAAGTTTTTTATTTATTTAAATCAATATTTTGCTTTTTATTTACCTTAATAAATGAACAGATGTGGCCAGTTAGTGCCAGTCTCTTTTTAAGTATCTTGAATAACAATTTTTGTGCCTTATTAAAAGAAATAAATCACCTTAGTAAGGAAAATTTATTTGCTTTAATCACACCAAGTAGGCAAGCTTTTTGTAAATCTTGCATCTATACCAGAAGATAGATTTACTTATATTTATATAGTAATATCTTAATATCATCTTCTAAAACCATGATGGCTAAAGCTTAGATATTTGGCATGAACCATAGTTGGACATTTGGCAAGTTTTTTTCAAATTATGGCTAAATTTGTCTCCCTGGGTGTCAGGCATAAAGTAAACATTTCTATAGCCATTGACTTACCTTAGCAACCTATGACTTCCATAGTAATCATTCACATTTCATAGCAACCATTCACTTTCCTTAGCAACCAGTGACTGTAATAGCAACTATTGACATTTTGTAAAAACCAGTGACCTCCATAGCAATGACTTTCTTTGCAACCAGTGACATCAATCTCAACCATTACCTTCCATTGCAACCATTGATTTGCCTTAACAGCTAGTGACTTCCTTAGCAACCAGTAGCTTCCTTAGCAACCATAGCTACAAGTGACTTCCATAACAACCATTGCCTTTAAATAGCAACCAGTGACTTATATAGCAAAGAATTACTTTACATAGCAACCAGTGACTTCTTTACCAACCATAGCAATCAATGACTGTCCATATCTACTAATGGCTTCTGTAGTTACTTATGATTCTCCTTAACAAAAGCAACCAGTAACTTTCTTTGATTTTCAGTTTTACAGGTGCAAATATGAATTTTGTGATATCATTTTAAGATTTAAACCTTATATCTGTTATTTATGTTGGTCATTAACAGTGTGGGCGATACTGGGGCCATCATGACCCTCTTGTACATGGTTATTTTATGCATTATATTTGATATTTCAGAATCATCTGGCCAAGAGGAGAGATTATATAAGACAGAATAAGATGCCAGAGCTTTCAGAACTCTCAGAGAAAGATTCACCAGACAACAATAACGAGGAAAAAGCTGAAACTGTGATAAAAACTAAGGTTAACTTTTTTTGGCATATTCAAAATCATAAAAGAACATTATTTTTAGCTCACCTGTCACAAAGTGACATGGTGAGCTTTTGTGATCGCTTTTCGTCCGGCCTCAGTCCGCCCGTAAACTTTTGCTTTAAATGACATCCCCTCATAAACCACTGTGCCAATTTCATCCAAACTTCACAGGAATGTTCCTTTGGTGGCCACCTTTAAAAATTGTTCAAAGAATTTAATTCCATGCAGAACTCTGGTTGCCATGGCAACCGAAAGAAAAATCTTTAAATATCTTCTTTTAAACAACCCTAAGAGCTAGAGCTTAGATATTTGGCATGAAACATCTTCTAATAATTGTCTACCAAGTTAGTTCAAATAAAGGCCCTGGGGTCAAAATTGGCCCTGCCCCAGGGGTCATAGATTTTCCCTATATGCATATAGTAAAAACTTAAAAAATCTTCTTTTAAAGAACCCAAAGAGCTAGAGCTAAGATATTTGGCATGAAACATCTTCTAGTGAGTGTCTACCAAGAGTGTTTAAATAAAAGCCCTTTGGTCAAAATTGGCCCCGTCCCGGGGGGTCATTGATTTTCCCTATATGCATATTGTAAAAGATAAAAAAATCTTCTTTTAAAGAACCGTAAGAGCTAGAGCTAAGATATTTGGCATGAAGCATCTTCTAGTGAGTGTCTACCAATTTTGTTCAAATATATACAGGTGAGCGACCTCAGGGCCATCATGGCCCTCTTGTTTCAAAAGAAATGTTTTTTTTAATCTCTACCTTGTTACCTGTATGAAAAAGACTTAATCTAGATTGTAAATTGTAATCATTTTTTAATTGCATCGATGGATATAATAATGGCTGGTATATTGTCTTTAATAAGGCTGTATGGAAGTTTGTATTGCTCAGGCGGAAAGGAAGAACATCACTGTCACAATACAGACAGTTTTTATACAGAAAGCTACACTGTCTTGTAAAATCATCAGCAAGATGTATGTTTTGTTTCTTTACCACTTAATAATATTCCATATTATTTCATTATATCTTTGTTGATGGCAGGTGAAAAATTTATAATGAACTTTCAGCATGTTGGCAACTATGTCTAAGTGGTTAATTTTGTACAGACACAGAAAAAAAATCTCCCAGATCTCTTAATAGTTTTCTTTCACACCATGTCATATTCTTTGTGAACATATCCGCATCATAATGTTGCATTTACACTCTTACAAAAATGATTGATTGATATATTGATTGATTGATTGATTTATTTATATAAAGGTTTATGGGGATTTGTAAAGTTCGTTGTATGAACACCTTTTGATTGGATGTTTGTATTGTTTTTTTAGTTTCTAGCTATGTTGTTGTGTATAACTATAGTAAGTATGTGTCAATTGTTCAGGTTAGAGTTACAGTTATAAAACAACAGTCATTAACCTCTTAGGTCATTGTTGATATAATCAGGGTGGAAAGTCATGCGATGTTTATGTAAGGTAACATTGTAGCTCTTTTATTTTCCTGTTATGATTGTAGAAATTTTTCTATGCAGCAATATTCTGATGAAAATATGTGTCACAATTATGGTGATTATCTGGGCAAGTTTACTGAGGCTTAAAAATATTTTCCTATATTGTAAGGACATGTTTTTTAAGCTTTGTTAAAGTAGCATCAGACCCTCCAAGGCTTCCATAGTTATTTAAACTCTTGTGTTGTGTTTCTTTTTTTCAGGATGACACTCCATCATGTGAGATAAATGGTGATGTCATAATGCCCAGTATTCCAAATGAATTCCTTCAGAAACTTGGTCTTACTCAAGATGGCAAAAGGTTTGTACCTTTCATTATAATGTTGGAAGTGCATAAGGAGGAATATCTGTTCTTCATGGTTTGAATGCTTCATGGTTTGAATGCATACAAGGAATTTGCTCATGCAAGCCACCATTATAACTAGATAATCTAAAATTTCAGGATTGGTGCACGTTACCAACTCGGAGGTTGAAGTCATGGCCAAACATTATCAAAAATTCAATTGATTTCTTAAACTACCAAAATAATTATACCACCACCACAAAATGTGGGGGGGGGGGGCTTTATTCGATTCGCTTTGTCGCGTCGGTTGGTCCGTCCGTCGGTTGGTCCGTCTCCATTTTTGTGTCCGCTCTATAACTCCTATACCAATTGAAGGATTTTCTTCGAACTTGGCTCAAATGTTCACCTCAACAAGGGGATGTGCAGAACCCATATTGCCCATGTGTCAGTTCAAGGTCAAGGTCACAATTGAAGGTCAAATATCAAACACTATCAAATATTACTCAGTATGTCATGTCCGCTCTGTTAGTCCTACACTAATTGAAAGATTTTCTTCAAACTTGGCTCAAATGTTCACCTCAACCAGGGGATGTGCAGAACCCATGTCACCCATGTGTCAGCTCAAGGTCAAGGTCACAATTGAAGGTCAGTTATCAAACAATCAAATATTACACAGTATGTTGTGTCTGCTTTGTAAGTCCTACACTAATTGAAAGATTTTCTTCAAACTTGGCTCAAATATTCACCTCAACAAGGGGATGTGCAGAATCCATGTTGCCCATGTGTCAGGTCAAGGTCACAATTGAAGGTCAAATATCAAACACTATCAAATATTACACAGTATGTTGTGTCCGCTCTGTAAGTCCTACACTAATTGAAAGATTTTCTTCAATCTTGGCTCAAATGTTCATCTCAACCAGGGGATGTGCAGAACTTATGTCACTCTTTTGCTGGCTTAAGGTCAAGGTCACACTTTAAGGTCAAACATTGACTTAGAAAATATTCTTAAATTTTAACATTTAATTGAATAATTCTAAATCAAGAAAAGGTATTTGCCTGAAACTTAAAATATTTTTGAAGGGTCACAATTCTGATATGCTGTTCATTCAAGTTTCATATCTCTGTATTGCATTTTACCAAAGTTATGCCCCTTTTTAAGTCTTCAAATTTACATACAATCAAATATTAGACAATATGTTGTGTCCCTCTATAAATCCTATACTAATGGAAGAATTTTCTTCAAACTTTACTCAAATTTTCACCTCAACAAGGTTATGTGCAGAATCCATGTCACCTTTGTGCTGGCTAAAGGTCAAGGTCACACTTAAAGTCAAAAATTGACTTAGAAAATGTTCTTAAATTTTAACATGTACTTGAATAATTCTGAAACTAGCGCAGGCATTTGCTTGAAACTTAAAAGATATATGAGGTTTGGCAAATAAGATATGCAGGTCAAGTTTCATTACTCTGTATTGCATTTTGACAAAGTTATGCCCCTTTTTAAGTCTTCAAATTTACATACAACCAATACTAGACAATATATTGTGTCTACTCTAAATTCTATACTAATGGAAGGATTTTCTTCTCAAATGTTCAACCAAATTGGGTGATGTGCAAAACCCATCTTACCCTTGTGCTAGATTAAGGTCAAGGCCACACTTGAAGGTCAAAAATTGACTTATAAATAAAATGTTTAATACATTGGGAAAATGAAAGGTTATTTGTAACTGTTTCGAACATGATTTGATAATATATATTTATACTATCACCTGTACAATTAGTCTTTTTTTCATAAGAGATAATTTCTTTTTATGTATTTGTGCCACATAAGTTATTCCCTTAACCACCTTTTCAAGTGGTTTTCTGTCAAGGACATTGGTGGGGGTATGAATCGCATTCAGCGAAAGTTCTAGTTCTTTTGTGGTTTTCTAATACCACTTCTGGTATGATAAACTGGAAATCCATGCAAAGGAATTAATAAAATGATAACTTTGTGCAATTCAATAAGAAACAGAAATAATAAAAACTGACATGTTTGGAAAATTAATATCATTTTGAGATTTTAAAAGAATATCTAATTTAAGACTTAGATACAACAGTTGTAATTTATCATTCATCGGCAACTCCAGAAATAACCAGCTATTTCAGGCACTACCTTAGAATTTCCTGATATTATATTTAACATTGATATAGAGACAGAGCTGTCTAAATCTTACTTAATATATTTCTATATTGGACAACATTGTCTCGTGAAGAATGAACATCATTTTATATTAATTCTAATTTAAAATGAAATATTGTTCACAGGTGTGTTTTATACAGTTATTTCCAGTCATTCATCTTAAAAAAGTTATATCTGGAACATTATTGGCAGTGGAAAAGAATTGATGGTGTAAACAGTAATGTTAATAGAAGTAGAAAGTTTTATTATAATAAGGATGTCACCTGTCTCAGAAATCTTCCAGTTTATTCTACTATCTACTATAAACTATTCTATAATGTAGGATTTTCAGCTTGACAATCGCAGAATACTGGAGCTAATGCAGTCTCCCATTTGCCGGCGTCCCTGTGGTTAAGTTTATTATCTAACATGATTGGCACAAGTCCCATAACTCTGATTTGCTGATTTGCATATCTATGCCCCTTTTTCAACTTACAAATTCTCGCTTAAGTTTTTGGGTGTAAGCTGATATCTCCATAACTTTTGAAGGGTTTGTGTCTTTTTTTGTGACAATTTCATGCATTCATAATAATCAAGCAGTGATTTACGCAATAAAACATCTTAATAACAAACTTTTGTACCTTTTTTGGACAATTTTATGTATTTGAAACACTCTTGTGACAACTCTTTTGAATTGTAGAGCGTTGCTGGCCTGCAACAGCTCTTGTGTGTTATCATATCTTTAAGCTATAGGATAGTCAAGCTGACTAAAAGAGTACTTTATTGTGCTTAAAGAAATAGTTTCCCTTTGATCAATTCATTAAACATCTTCATGTGCTTGATTTGTTATTGACAATGATAATTAGGTTATTAAGTGAAAAATTATTGTCTTTATGGTCATCATAGTTTAATGTTTAAAGTCTTGTAGAATGTTCTAAGATTTTATTAGTTCAAGTGCCTAACTATGATAAGTATCTGTTTGGTATACAGATTATGACAGGCTTCATCTTCAGTTTTAAGCATGTGCCAAAAAATGTAATGGGTATAAATATCTAAATTTTTTCAACAACAAAAAAAATGTGATGTTGACTTTTCGTTTTGATGAGAATATGTGTATTGGACAACTAAGTAGTCTGAGTTTGTCTGTAGCAAATATCACAGGGATTGAACAAGTGTTCACTGGGAATAGTCAAGTGTGCTGGCATACTGACAGCTCTTGTTTTATATCATATTTATCTAAGATGTCTCAAAATGACCAGTAAATTAATGTTGCAGAACAGTGGTATATTTCAAAAATGTCATTTGATAATGCCAAGAATAAAAAAACATTGTCAGATGATTACAACTCTATTACTATGTTCATAAATCTTATTATTACAAAACCTAATAAGTATGCTGAAATAATGCCATGTTATGATAGTTAACTGTAAATAAACAGTTTATGAAATATTGAAAACACTTGGCTGATATTCAGACAATTCTGAGTGGTAAACACTAATCCATGATTTGCCAAAAAGCTATTTCCTAAAAGTTAAACACACTAGAAATGTGCCAGCAATATTGATGTACAACATGCAGAGTAATGCACTAAAGTGAGAGCAGTAATTAAACAAAAGCAGCATTAGAGGCTCCTGAATATTATGAATATAAATTGTCTCTAATTGTTGTCATAGAAGTTAACCATACCTGATAAGCATGATTACTTAGACATGGTGTCATTATTATAGTAATTTCAAGGCTGGTGCTGACAATTGCTGGCATGCACCATCAGAGCTAGGTCTGCCAACACACATGGCTATCAAGCCAGCCTGCATAGCTAAATCTGTTAGTGCCTGAGACTTGCTGTAATCTTGACATTGTGGGTTTGATTCCCTGGCTAGCCATCAGTCTTTTGAATGTGTATTAGTGCTTTAACACTTGGCATGCTAAAGAATTGGCATTGGGGCATCTTTCTGTATTTTGCACTATATCCTGCATGTTCTAAAGTGTGGAGGAATAATATGGGTAACCAGTGGCAAGTATAGGTAAATTCAAATACACCCACACATGGCTATGTTGTTGTCTGCTTTAATTTAGAATGTTTTACTCCCTTAAACTTACAATGTATTATTCCAAATTTGAAACCAGACCAGTTTATTATATGTATTTAAGAGAGGTAACGTTAATTTGATACCAAACTTTTATAACCTTGTAAATACCCTAAAGGATAGCAGCTAGAGTGAAAGGCTATTAAAAACTTTTGTTAAATTTTGTTTAATACACCATATCCTCCTGTCTGAAGGGCAGAATAAAAGTTTATAGCAATAGTGTTGTAATACTATGAAGTTACAAAAATAGATATGGTAGTGTTGCAATAATCTCATTAAATGGTGTTGAAAAAGTTTTTATTTGTTTAACATTTGGAGACATAAAGTTATGATACTTTATATTGTATGTAACCATGTTAATATAATTGCAATAGTATGTAGAACTACATTCTTCAGTTATTAACACAGCTCTAAGTGAACTTTATTACCTATGAAGGTAGTTAAAAGTTAATTTTAAATTTTCAAACAAAGAAAAGTTCTCTTAATAGTGATACATTTGCAAAGAAGTTGAAAGATACAAGTTGAGAACAGAGTATTTCTCTTAAACAGTCATAACACTAATGCATTACCTTTTCTGCATAAATTCTAATGCAATTTTTTAAAATGCATTTTTGCAATTACATCAAACATTTATTTACTCATTGTTAAATACTGTACACATGCATAAATATGTCACATCAAACGTGCATTTGAGCACAATTTTGTTAATTCGCTATTATTCGTTATCACACAAAATATGCATTGAAGCACACAAAGAAAGTGTCTTTCAC